TTTACAGAGAGGAAGGGAGAGGGATAGAGAGTCAGAAACATCGATCAGCCACCTCCTGCACACCCCCTCCTGGGGATGAGCCCGCAACCAAGGTACATGCCCTTGACCGGAATCGAACCCGGGATCCTTCAGTCCGCAGGCCGATGCTCTATCCACTGAGCCAAACCGGCTAGGGCACCAAGCACTGTTCTTCCTCAGGCTTGGTCCTGCCCAGTATAAGAAAGACAAATACTTTCATGTCAAGCCCCACTGAGGTCATCCTGTCCCCCACTGGCCAGAGAGAACATCCAGTCAGGCTGGACTGTGATGCAAGCATGTTACTTTCTGCTTCTCTTGGTCCTTTCTTTTCCAAGTTCTATCAACGGACAGGGTGGTACTTTTCCCACAGTGCGCAGTGCAGGTGGGAGACGCTAAGCCTCTGAGATTTATGCAGAGGGGAAGAATTACATCAAACAGTATTGTCACCCTGTCCCTGAAATAATGATAAATGAAGCTGCAGCCTGCTTTCCCCCAATCTGCCTTCGTCATCTTGTATGGCAAACAGGTCAAATTTGTCACTGCCAAATGCAATAAATTCTTGTCTATGGTTTTGGAAAAAGATAAATCATCAGAGAATAATCTCCAAATACTCTGCAAAGGTTCTGTAGCCCCACACTGGGTATCTAACAGTAGAGAATTAAGGACGTTGTGCAAATCCAAATTTTTTAATCCTCACCTGAGGATGTGTTTTTATTGAGAGAGAGAGAGAGAGAGGAGAGAGAGAGAGAGAGAGAGAGAGAGGGGAGAGGTGAGAGAAATCAATCAATTGCCTTCTGTACATGCCCCAAGTAGGGACTGAACCCTGCAATCTAGGTATGTGCCCTGATCAGGAATGGAACCCACAACATTTCGTGTACTGGACGATGCTCCAGCCAACTGAGCCACACTGGCCAGGGTTGTTAGTCTGCCCTTTTTTTGTTTTTTTTTGTTTTTGTTTTTTTGCAATGAGGAAAATGAAGGTCACTGAGGAAAAAAGCCTCAATCTTCAGATTCCAAATTCCAGGCCTTCCCATAGCCTCAACGTCTCTCTTTATCAGTTTGCCCATTGTGTTGGAGGTAGGACTGGGATAAATTTGGGGAGAGAAACTGTAGCCCTTGAGTAGTTGATCTCTCCTGTCCTCGGAGGAAAGCAGAACATCAGGATTGCTGGGAACCTGGACTTTGTGAGTCTCCAGGGGGAGAAGAGCCCTGGTGTGCTCCTCTGTCCTGCGCCATCTTCCTGCCCTGCCCAGCCCGGCCCGGCCACTGTGGAGCTGAGCCCTCCCTTCACTTGGGCTCCCACCTGCAGTGAAGCATGGCGCCTAGTCACACCCCCAGGCTCGGCATAGCACAGGTGCAGAAGGGGGGTAACAAGAAACTCTCTCCAGCTTGGAACAGAAGGGACTACCTTCTTTCATCTGTTGTTTATTTGTGGTTTGAGGTCAAGATTCAACTGAGACGAGTGAAAAGATGATTCTATACATAGTCAACTGATGGTGGAACTGCTTTGGGGTTCCCAGGAATTTTCCAGTCCTGCACAAAACCCAGGAGGTGGTAAGGTATCATCAGGGTAGCCCTTTTTGGCCCTAATGAAAATTTATTGTGCCAGACTGCTCATCACTTAACTTTACAGATGTTCCCAGAGGCAGCGAGGCATACACAGTGCCCAGCGACTAGAAAGCATACCCTCCCCAAAGGGAGGTCCGCTGCCCACTTTGCTGAGGGGTAGCTTGGGTGCGTTCTTAGCTGGAGATAACAGAATCCACTCCAACTAGGTTAAGGAGAAAGGGGTTTATCAGTGGAAAGAGATACGTTCTTAGCTGGAGATAACAGAATCCACTCCAACTAGCTTAAGGAGAAAGGAGTTTATCAGTGGAAAGAGATAACTTGCAGACCCGTTGTGAAGGCCAAAGACAGGGAATCGAGGTTGAGCTTCTAGGAACAACTGCCCAATGTGAACTGGGGAACGGAGCTGCTAAGGGGTGGGCTGCCTTGTCACGGTCAGAGGTCCGCTGCCCACTTTGCTGAGGGGTAGCTTGGGTGCGTTCTTAGCTGGAGATAACAGAATCCACTCCAACTAGGTTAAGGAGAAAGGGGTTTATCAGTGGAAAGAGATAACCCGTTGTGAAGGCCAAAGACAGGGAATCGAGGTTGAGCTTCTAGGAACAACTGCCCAATGTGAACTGGGGAACGGAGCTGCTAAGGGGTGGGCTGCCTTGTCATGGTCATGGAATAAGGAAGCAGCTGCGGCATCCAGAAGCAGCCACCACACTGCCAGCAGAGTCCCGCTGCCGTGATCCAAACCAGTAACCTCCATGTTCCAGGCCCTGCCTCTCTTCCCAGTGGCTCAGTTCTGAATGGAAGTCTCGCACTAGGGCTTCTGAAAGGCAGAACCTCAAACACATCTGGGACTGTCGGCACATGGGGGTCCGCCTGTGCACCCTAGCTGGGTTTAAAAAGAGTGGAGAGTGAAGCCCTCTACAATACTTTCCACAGTGCTTTTAACCCACTCTCTCCCGTCCACTGGCATATTAAAGAACAAAGCTTTTTCCCCGTCCATCTGTCCTTCCATCTGTCCATCATCTATCCACCTATATATCCATCCATTGATCAGAGTTTTGCACTTTGGGTATTTTATTTTTATCGGTTTCAGAATGTATCGAAAAGATAAGGATTTTTTTTAAAAAGTCTAATAAAATATCATTATTACACTAATATTTAAAGCAGTAACCCCTAAATATCATCAAATATCTAGTTGGTGTTCAAATTTTCCCAATTGTCTCATAATTTTAAAAACAGTTTGTTTGAATCAAGTTCCAAATAATGATGGTTTAGTGCTTACAACATGCAGTTGATTGATGTCTCTTCAGCTTCTTTTAATCTATAGCTTCCTGGCCCCTCATCCCCCACTGCCTTGCTCTCCCCTCCAGTCTTTCTCCTCCTGTTTTCCTTCTCTTTCTCTCCCGCCTCTTCCCCCTGCCCTCCCCCTTCTCCACTTTCTGCTCTTTCTCTCCCTCTCCACTTCCAATGTATTTGTTAAAGGTCCTGGGTCACTTGTCTTAGAGAGTCTCTCACAGTCTGAGTTTTGCGTCCTGTGTCTCCGCATTATCCTCTGACGTATTCCCCCATATTTTGTATTTCCTGTAAAGAGGCACTTACAGCTAGAGACTGATTTCATTTGGGTTTAATCAGAATACTTGAGAGGTTTGTGTGCACCACTCAGAAGCTTTCGATACCTGCTCATCTGTCTTTTGGTGACATAAGCAGCCAGCCGCGGATGATCATTGCCTAGATCCTGCATTTCATTAGGGGCTTGCAAAGTGTTTAGATTCTAAGTCCTTCATTCCTGCCTCATTTATTAGCTGGAATAAATGAGGGACGGACCAAACTCGGCCAGGAATTAAGTGGCCTGTGTCATCTTCAAAGTGCTTCCTGGACAGGTTGGGTTTACTTGGCAAAGCAGAGGGTTTTGGCCTCCTTCTCGCTCTCTTTGTCTCTGTGGGCCACTGTTTAACTTCACGCTGTTAAATGGTATATATCAGTGGTCGGCAAACTCATTAGTCAACAGAGCCAGATATCAGTACAACGATTGAAATTTCTTTTGAGAGCCAAATTTTTTAAACTTAAACTATATAGGTAGGTACATTGTTATTAACTTAATTAGGGTACTGGCTCACTCAATTCATGTATGAATCGTGTGCGCCTCCCCAGCGCTGCATATCCCGCGGCCCACCTGCACCTTGTCTCCTGTCGCCCAACCGACCAACACTCCCCACGTCTTCTAACACCACTTCTTCAAAATAGACTCGCCCAGGCCGAAAACCGACTTCTGCACATGGGCCACAAAGTTTCAATCACACTGCGTGCGATCCCCCACACGTGGTATTTTGTGAAAGAGCCACACTCCAGGCCAAAGAGCCGCATGTGGCTCGCGAGCCTCGGTTTGCTGACCACTGGTATATATTCTCCAAGAGGAGGTAAACATTTTATTTTCCCTTTACAAAAGTGCTATATGGCTATTACAGAAAATACCAAGAGCCAAAAGGTGGGGGGAAAAAAACCCAAACCCATCCATAATCTTAACATCATATAATTACTTCTTAACATTTTGCTGTACTTTCTTTTAGTCTTTTGGACCATACCTATATAAATAATGTCTACTTGACACAAATGGGATTAAATGTTTATAAACTTAAGATCATCTAATATTACTAGTAATTTTTCATGTCATTGTTTTTTCTTCAATATAATTTTTAAATTTAAATCTTTATTGTTGAAAGTATGATGGATGTCCCCCTTTTCCCCCCATTGACCCCTTCTAGCCTGCCCC